ACAGTTTAGTATCAAGATGTATTTATCGTACCATTTAAGGGATTTTTGGGCAACTTAAATAAAAAAATAAAATAATTGACTACATCTGTGGACTTCAAAACATACTTGTGAGCTTAAGAAAAGTTCAACACTTCACTTAAATTCTGTGTATTTCGCATTGAAAACTTTTTTTAATTCAACAAACATCAGGAATATTCAATTATTGTCAGACATGCAAACCTTTGATAAGCTTGACGAATTCTAGAATAAATCGCATATAAGCGGAGCTTTTAAGAAATTTTGTGTTGTATTGTGAAATTCTCTGAATGATATTAAATTTTTCTGAAGCTCTCGAAGTTCTTCGAAATTTGCAGGACTTTGTATTTATTTCCTAAATTTCTAAGATCGTCTTTCGAAGATCTTAGAATTTCTTTAACTTCCACAGATTTTTTTTCTGAAGTGTACACATTTTCTCTGGATGTTCACAGATATTTCTTAGCTGTTTGTATTTTAGAAATTCTCTGAAATTTTCGATGAAATTTGCAGAACTGCTTTGGCTTCCCGTTTTTCACATAACTTTTCCTGAAGCTGGCATGTCATCGCATTTTGTATACAGAAATGATAATATGATTGCGCGCTCGAAACACTGATCCTTAAGGCCCAAGCGCAATGACAGCGGAAGCGGAACGGCAGCGGCAGCGGAAAGGCCCGATCAGAGTAAGCCTACTTGTCGGATTGAAATCAAGTTAGAACCAAACCGACTTCGACTAGGCAGCTTGATGACATTTGTGACAACTGTCAAACTTTCCGTTTCCGTTCCGCTTCCGCCCACTTTGCGTTTGGGCCTTTACGACATAAGAGGCGCGGATGCTAGCCTCTGCACAGCAGCATGCAAAAGTAGCTGAGCTGCGCAATCCTCCATCTAACGGGTGTTCAATAAAAAAAATGAGAATGATTTCAGTGCCGTCCAGCGCTCTTGTGAGAGCATCGCGACTAAGTTGCGTCGTACGGCTGACCAGGGCCCCTTCTCCAATAATAATTGACGTTTTTTTGAAAAATAAACATTATGTTTTTAATAAAAAATACTGAATTCGTTGAATTTTTTTTTTTTAATTTATTTATATGACTGAAAAAATTCTCGTTTTTTTTATTGAACACCCGTTAAATAGCACCGCAGCTGAGCTGCGAGTGCAATGAATTGGCGTTGACGGCGACTCTGTAGCTCTTTACTCCTATGGAAAATCGCGTAAGCAAACGTTAGACTGTGTGTGAAACATGGCAGCTTTTGTACTATCTCTTTACTCCACTGAAAATTCCCATAAGATACTGTCATTTTGTGCTAGAAGAGACGATTTTTCAACGGTGCTGTCAACGCCAATTAGGGATATCAACTAATTACCACTACCTACTTCTCTCCCTTCCGCTCTTAGTATTCGCCGATTCGGTGTCTATCGTTTTTGCTCTACTAAAATTTAAAAATCACCAATCAATCCGGCAGTCTTGCTGTGCCTACCTATGTTTTTATTTTGTCAATTCTCGTTCTCTTCAGCCGATGCTATGCAGAAATATATATAGAGAGAGAGAGCAAGAATTTCCGCCAAGCGGAGCTCCAAAGCTATCGCCGAGAAAGTATTTTTTGAAGCTCGCTGTGGCGTGGTAGCAATCAAGCCTTCTTCAGAGAGCCGAGTGCACCCGAATATCCGAAGTCCGCTCCGCTACTCTCGCTCTTGCTCAGGTCTGATGGTCTGCTGAATACACCATAAAGATGTTGGTTTCAGTTGAAACAAAAGTGAAAGGATTTGTTAGATTACCGTGAGTGAATAAACCGGTGCTATTTACTTTGGCTGATATATCTGAAAAATATATGTTTCTTTGCTGAGATCTCAGAAAAAAATCTTATTTGTTAGCTGAGTATCGGCAATTGTTTTACTGAATATCAGCTAAATAAATTACAGAACTCGGTTGTTGGAATATCGACAAAAAGATTTAAGTGTGCATCAAATAATTGATAACAATTGTCCGGAAGGCAGAACGCCAGCACCAAGATACGAAAAGCACCAAACCATACGAAAGGAAAACCGACCGAAGCACAAAACGACTATCTACCACACTGGCCACATCTACTCAATTCAAATTCTTGTCAATTAATGGTCACAATAAATATTACTTAAGTTGAATTTCATTTCGACTTATGCACACGTGAAAACGATTGTAGTTTTGTCTTGGTATGAGTTGAACAATATGTGGAAAGCACACGAAATCAACAAACAAAACCAACCGTTCGCCGACAGAGCCTACTCAGATCACCACTTTTACCGAACAGATCCGTATCTATCCGTAGTTAAAAAATTACTGACACGCGCCTTCTACGAGTGATATTAAGAAAATTAAGGAATAAAGTCTATTTTTGCAACCTTAGCATTCCTTTTCTCGAGGGTCTAAATGGAAATATAGCTAAATATTATGATAAAATTAAACAAAATTACACGGTTATGTTTTTGGCCATCTACAGAATATTAATATCCCTCAACGGAAAATTTCCCACCAGCAAAATTCCATACAAATATTGGAATGATAATCAAATGCAACCACACTAAATTAACGTTTGTTTTAAACCCAATACCTATCTCCTAGGTCACAAAATAAAATATCTTGGATCTTGCATTGAATCTCTCCCGACCGACTTGAAATGACGTCTTATAGCTAATTCGATTATTATTCAGTTCCAACCTGGATCGGGTATCAAGATTGGGTCTGCTTGTTTTCTGACAAACGTCAGTTTGCTTGTTTGTTTTTAAAACCTAGCTCAGGTTGAGGTTCGCACTGACAAAAGGTTCGGTTTTGCACTGATAATAAACGAATTCGCTATTAGTCTTCATTCCTTTATTTAACGTCGGTCTCTGTTCCGCAATCTAGTGCCAAATACCGACGGACATCGATTGCCATCCATTGACGGCAATCGAATATGCAGGAAGGCAGCTTCCATTGTATCGCACTCATTCAAACACATATGAGCCGGGACCAACGGCTTTATTTTCCCTTCCGAAGGAAGACGTGACTTTTATGCCTCAGAAAAATCCCACCAGCCCAGGCTGGGATTGAACCGAGACCAATTGGGATGAGAAAACAATCTCGCTTACCACTACACCACCGGTGCCAAAATTCTAAAAAAAAATCTTATTTTTTTTTTTTTTCCTTTGGTTTGTTTTTTCCGTCGATCTTGTTTTCCGTGATGAGCACCAATGCTACCGACGTGCCAGGAAGGCAGCTCCCACACCTGGACCCTACCTATCGACCCATCAACTCATGAACCGGGGACCAACGGCTTTACTTCCCATCCGAAGGAAGGCGTGATCAGAGATGTTATGCCTCAGAACATCCCGGCGGCGCCGACTGAGATTGAACCCAGGCCTGCTGGGGTGAGAGGTAATCACGCTTACCACTACACCACCGGCGCCGTTGAAAAAAAAAATCTTGTTCTGAGCTTCCTCCGCCGTTACAGCCAATCTTTATCTGCATAGAAATGCTGCTCCGAATGCGGACTATTAAATTTTACACTGCTGGTCATCCAAAGCGGCCAGTTTGTCTAACGTTTGGTCATCTCAGCATCAGCATCCCAAGTCACCTTGCCAATCAATCTTCTTCAGCATCCGCTCGATAATTGTTCAATATTTATCGATTATTCTTGAACAGGGAGTAATTGGATGCATAAATGTTCTTTGCGATTAAAAGCACCCCGTTGTCATGGTACCACTAAAGTTCATCCCGGCAGAATTGGCAGAATTGCCAAATATGGCCAAAACATCACAGGTCCTTTGTGTTTCTTCACTTCTTTTTTTTTTTGCAGTTTCAGTTTTCTGCTCTCCATCAGGCACAACTTTTTAAAAACTTCACAAATCGTGACCGAAACATTAAGCACTAAAATGTATGTTCACATACATATCACTAGGGGTGCAATCGATAAAATATACAGCGCTTCCGGGTTCAAACTGGTCCACACTTTAGATACACTTTAAAAATATTAAACTCTCTTTTTTTTAGATATTCCGAATAATTGTAAATCAATAAACGCGATCATATAAACAGGATTGCATTCTAATTGCTGCTATTCGTGTGCTGTAAACAAATGTTTTCGTATTTATGCAAATCAATAAATGTTATGATGACACTTTGCTCTAAAAAGTAACAAAAAGTGATTGTAAATTATGTGTTTGACACAAAACACTTGTTGTCTTTTTTGGTAGATTTATAATCAATGAATATTTACTCTTCATGAAGAGTGGATATTCACCGATCATACAACTACTGATTGTGACTCTCTAAATGCCAAATTGAATGCTTTTATGTGTCAAAGACATAAATAACGACCCCTTCTTACTCGTACAAAACATCATCATAACATCTAATGATTTGAACTTTCTAAAAAAAATGTTTATAGCAAACGAGTGGCCGCAACCCTGTTTGCAATGATTAAAATTTGAGGAAAGCAAAAAAAGCCAAAAATCGTATGCGGATATACTGCATAGTGCAGTCCCACGCCAAATAACAAAACAGTTGAACAAGACCCACTCCAATTTTGATGAAACTTGGAGCGTAAATCGGTTGATATCCTAAGTTGCATTTTTGTTAAAATTATTACTTTTTGTGAGATCAAGTTTTCATAAGGCCATATCTAAAAAAGAAGGTTTTATTTTCAAAAAATTAGTAGCTTGAAAACTACTTATTTTATCGAAATAACGACTTAGAAGAAGTCGAATGATCATTAAAAAAGTAAAATAGAGAGGAAAAGCCACTACAAATTCATGTTTATAAACAAAACCGGTGATTTTCTTGGACGTCCAGTTTCAGTTCGAGGACACTGATCTGCTAAAATTCTACTCCATCGAAATATCTGATTCTTGCACTCCGAAGCACTTTGAATACATTAAGTACCGATTTGACATTGTATCATCTGCCCTGCCGCGGTCCTCGGAATTAAGCTACACGCGTGACGAAAAATATGCACCACAATAAAAACTCACTTTTATTATACGACCTCCGCTTCTGTGATCCGTAGCAAGCACACGCTGAGCATCGACTGGCGAGACAAGCAGCTTTCTGGCCGATTTAGTTCAAGCTCAATATCACCACGCTCACCTCGCTCTGCAGCGAACTGATCAGACACAATACAAAACAAAACTTGCAAAAGAAAGACTCTATCCACCTATCATAGCTTGTACTTGTTTTTTAGAATCATTGCTGCATGGCATTAATATCCCGCATTCTATGTGCGTCATTCAGTCTTACCACCAGTTCTCCCTAAAGCTGGGTTTAGACTAGGCAAGTCAATTGATCAAGTCAGTTGAATTCAATTGGCTTGAAAAGTTGAGCCTGGTTCAACTTTTTTGCAATTCAAGTTAGTTGATCAAGTCAAATGAATGGCATGGTTTACGCGTTCAATTCACGTTGAAGTTTAATTCAACTGACTTGATCAGTTGACTTGCCCTGTCTAAGCCCAGCTTAACTCGATATAGAAGGATTCAACTAGTTGATAGAATCCACACATGGCCGCTATAGACTTCTCTGACGTTTATGAATTGCACAAGTATTAGTGCAGAACTTTGGGTGGATTTAAAGGTTTTCTTGCACTAATACTTATAATTTACCCCAAGTTCTGCACTAATACTTGTGCATTTCATAAACGTCAGAGAAGTCTATTATGCCACTTCAATTTTTTGATGGCACGAATCTCAGAAGCTATAAAGATATCGTAATCGAAATTATAATCAATCTTTTGCTGCGCTGAATCATTTGTGGCATGAATCGTCAAAAACTCGGAGTGACCAGCGAAGGGGGCGACTCTATCTACGATGCAGAAAAGATTGTGTTTTGTTGTGACGCGCACGCTGAGTAAATAGAAAGTACATTGATGACGATTCTGAAGATTTCCTGCAAAAAGATGATGCGCGATGCAAGTAGGTGTGACAAATGAAAGAAGATTTCTCAAAGATTGATTCGCTAGTGTGAGATTTTTCGAGCATCTAGAATTGAGATTTAGATGTGTCGCCCCCCTCGCACAGTGGTCTCAAAGTGCCAAAACGTGCGGTTTTTAGTTTATGCGAAAACGGTTCATTTAAGCCATATAGTGTCTTGGGAGAAATTTGTGCACTTAAAAAGCCCCTTCTTTTGAGCTTAGCCATTTCATGATTAATCCACCAAGCAGGGAGATGAAACATATACTTTTTTTGTTGGTCGAGATATCAAAATGATGTTTTGAGCAAAGTTTTAGACAATATTAAAACAAACGTTTTTGATCAACATGTTAACCCTCTTTCTCTTATTTATACAGAGATATGTCATTTTTTTGGTAAGAGCCTTTCTGAAAATCAATTTTTTGCAAATAACTTTTCAGGAAGTAATTTTTTGACATTAGTATGTTCTACAAAAATCTTTTTTTTTTTTTTTTTTTTTTAATACGCAATTTTGTCTAGGGAAGCAAGTCTCTATCTTCAATATTTATTAAGATATTCAAGGTTTTGAATCAAAACTAGCACTATTTCCAAGCTCAATAGCTCGAAATTGGGTGAAATCGGGCAAACCAGGTTGATTACGTTTGAAAGTATACTTAAAATGCTGCTCAATGGATACCAAATCATTAGTCTTCTTTGGTATTCTCTGCTGATCTGCTTATTACCAAACTATAGGGTCACGACTTCCCGTATAATTGTGTTATTGTTGTTGTTTTTTTATTAACATTAAAACAACATTACTACCTCAAATGATTACCGCATATACCTCAAAACAGTTATATTTCATCAACCGTTTCATACAATATCGAAGAAAAAAACATATTCATCGCTACCCATTTCCTCGTCACTTTCAGAATTGTCGCTTACTTCTGTTTCACCATCGGTTCATGCATCGGTAGAGGGAACTAGAACAGTTTGAGCATCTTCGGACAAAAGCAGTTTTGCTTATTTTGGAAGGGGTCTCATTGTTGAAATTAACAGATCAGATTACTACAACAAACACCGTTCAATCAATCGGTCACTACTACCGACACTGTGAATCACCTGCCGAGGAAACAGAGACCAATCATAGTTCAGTCATTTTTTACAAACTACAATAAACACCGGGACTCACCTGCCATGAGAACCAAGAACCACTGTTTATTCAGTCAACCAATCACTACAATATACACTACGAATCACCAGAGCTGCCAGGTGGTTTTATAAAAAATCTGTATCCACTCTATTAAAAAATCTGTATTTTCTGTATTGACGATTTTTTTCTTAATTAATCATGTTTTGTTGTTTTACAAATACAGTGCATACAAAATAACCATAAAAAGTGCTTAACCACCTATTCGGGCTATCGTACTAACCATACGGGATATAATTGCGCCATTTGTGATATCGTCCGTACTTATTTATAAGAGGGATAAGAAGCCGTTTGAAAATGTATGGAGATTTTAGTTTCTATTCATTATCTTCCTGATAAGCAGTTCTAAATGCAAAAAAGTGCACGAGTTCATTACTATTTGATATTTTTAATATAGATGAATACAATTAATTACATCATTTGTGTGGTAGTTACACCGAAAAGTCGAGAGATGTCGCCCCGCCAGTGCTGGTAAAATCATTTTTGCAGTATGGAGAATATCAGAAAATCCGCAATTTCTTACGAAATACATTTTCAATGCGAAACTACCGTGACGGGCGTGACTGCGTTTTCCGTTGGAGGGAGTGAGAGAAGCATAAAAGAAACAGCAACGCCTCGAGCAGATCTCACTGCAAAAAATATGGTTTTTAGCACAACAATTAATTTTGGAGAGAAGGGGGGATAAAATCGAGCAAGTTATTTTGTTTTTATAAATTTTGAATTTTTTTTTTCTCAAGCATTTTATAAAAATCTGTATAAATCTGTATTGTAATTTAAAAATCTGTGATAAATCTGTATTCTGTATCGGGTCTGTATTAAGATTAAAAAATCTGTATAATACAGATAAATCTGTATAAATGGCAGCGCTGCGAATCACCTTCTTGTCCAGTCAACCGGTCACTACAATTTAGAATTTGGAATCAAATCTTTTACCACACGCGGCTTTGCAACGCCTACTCGTTTTTTGCATGCCTACTTCGGTTTATACGAATTAGATTTTTCTTCAGCCTTTAACACCAAGAGTAAGTGACGTATGAAGGAGCCTCTATGTAGAAATGGAAGAAAACGATTATCTGTACACGGTTTACTAAAGTTTGATAATAAGCAGATCAGCAGAGAATACAAAAGAAGACTAATGATTTGGTATGCATTGGGCAGGATTTTAAGTATACTTTCAAATGTAATCAACCTGGTTTGCCCAATTTCGCCCAACTTCGAGTTATTGACCTTGGAAATAGTGCTAATTTTGGATCAAAACCTTGAATATTTTAATAAATATTGAAGATAGGGACTTGCTTTCCAACACAAGTTGGCGTATTAAAAAACATTTGTGTAGAACATACTAATGTCAAAAAATAACTTCCTGAAAAGTTATTTGCAAAAAATTGATTTTCTGAAGGCTCTTACCAAAAAAAATGACATATCTCTGTAAACATAAGAGTTAGAGGGTTGCCCAACAAACAGTTCCAGCTGCAGACCAGCCTATACAGGCACAAATTAGCTGCATAAGGCAATTTATGGCTGTATAAGCTAGTCTGCAGTCAAAATTGTTAGTTGGGTGACGTCTTCAGCGAAAATGTTTGTTTTAATATTGTTTAAAACTTTGCTCAACCACCATTTTGCCATCTTGACAAACAAGAAAAGGAAATTTTTCATCTCCCTGCTAGGTGGACCAATCTTGAAATGGCTAAGCTCAAAAGAAAGGGCTTTTTAAGTGCACAAACTTCTCCCAAGCTGATTAACCGTAAGTTCCAGAAATCATGTTTTTACACAACCCAAAACTTTAAACGCGTTTTTCTCAAAACGGTGTTTTCCAAATTGGCGGGAAAGATAACTCAAAAAGTTCTCATCCAAATGACTTGAAACCTGGCGCATCTTAAGGGAAATAGATTTTTACTCTATGTGATATCATGAAAAAATTAACAATAAATAATGTTCAGTTCTGCATAAAGTGGAAAAAAAAAACAATGAAAAATCAACTTTTTTTTTTCAGATATTTTCTTCTTTTTTTTTTTTGTTTTAGAGGTTCACCTAGAACAAAAATCTTTTCTGAATAAGGTCCAATTGATAAAAGTAAGTTTTGTCCATTTTTCAGGTCTCTAGAACGCCCGCCAATTACCAATCTCCACCGGAGGTGACCTCCTTCCGATGTGACCCCAAGGAGCCACAGAGGTCACACACCAATGAAAAAAAAATCTCAAATGTAGAGGAAGATTTAAGCAATTTAATGCAAAAAAACCCCAAACGTTTGCGTTGTTTCATTTGCTCACAAAAAAATTCCGAATATCGAGTTTTTGACGTGTTACTTGTATTTCCCCTCTTAAACGGACCGTTTTTGCATCAACTGTAGTCTGAAAAAGGCAATATGGAGAATATCAGGGGGATGGATATGGAAATACAGAGGCATTTTTTTTAAATTTCTTTCGGAACAGTGGTTGAAGCAGCCTCCCTGCCCTAATAAAAAATATCATAAAAATACACTGAAAAAAGTTTTCACTTAGCTTCTATTAGGAACGCACATAATATTTTCCAATAACAAAAATAATGATTTTTATCTAAATATCACATAGCATAAGAAATTCTATATAGGAAATCATATAGATTTCATTGGACACATAAAGTTCATGTTATTTAGTGGTGCAATTTCCAATTATGGGATCACATGAAGGTTATGTGAAATTCACATGGATATTTTCCACTGGTTATGTGATTTATTTTGTGAGTATACAATACAACTTAAGGACAAGATTGATAGAAGCCACAAGTGGCCGCTATCATTACTGATTTTACAAGGCAAACCAGCTTTGAGAACGGCCATTTATGGATTCTATTAACCTTGTCCTTAATTTCACAATGCAATTAATCCAATTTTCACACCATAAAACCAATAATTGATTATCAGAAAAATACAATAA